AGGGGGAGGGTTAATCCAGAGTGAAGTCAATAATTATTTGACTTCAAATAGGTGGCAGCATATTGAGAATAAGCACGTACGAATCACATAAGAGTTCTGTATCACTTTGTTTATTAAGCCCAAATTTTTGTCTTTTAATGTGAATCATTTCCGAGATTAATCTCTTCTTGTAACAAGCCTCTCTTCATCAAGAATGGTAACGCACTCCCAATCAAATTCGTGATTGTAATCTAAACGGTGTTCCGATATGACAGAGCGCGCGGAAGATTTCTTGATATCGTTTTTGTGTTCAGAAATTCTAGTTTTTAGCTGTCGTTTACTTTGTCCAATGTAAGTGGCTGCGCAATCTTTGCAAGAAATTCTGTATACTATATTATTATGGGAGAAATTGTTCACTATGTCTTTATGATTCTTGATGAAGAACTTTAAATTTTTGGATATGGAAAAAGATAATCTCATGCTGTGATCTTTAGCCATGAAAGAGAACTTTTCTGATTTATTTCTAAAGAAAGGAATAGTGAAATATCTTATGTTTTCGTCATCTTCTCCTATGTTAGTAACTTCTCGTACTCCGTCCTTTTCGTGTATATAAAATTTAATTCTATGTCTTATAAGATTGAAAATGTACGGGAGAGGAAAACTATTGTATAATAGTATTTTTACTACCTCATATAAATTTTTTTTATGGAATTCAGGATGCGATAAGAAAAGAACCCTATCAACCAATCCCATTACAATACCCCTCTTATGTGCGTTTGGATGTTGGGAGAAAAAATTCAAGTATCGACCTGAGAATGTAGCTTCAAGTTTGATTGGTATCATAAACCTACCTACTATGCTGCCTGAGAATGTAGGTTTATGATACCAATTAAACTTGAAGCTACATTCTCAGGTCGATACTTGAATTTTTTCTCCCAACATCCGAACGCACATAAAAGGGGTATTGTAATGGGTATTATAATGGGATTGGTTGATAGGGCTTTTTTCATATCGCATCCTAAATTCCATCAAAAAAATTTATATGAGGTAGTACAAATACTATTATACAATAGTTTTCCTCTCCCGTACATTTTCAATCTTATAAGACATAGAATTAAATTTTATATACACAAAAAGGACGGAGTACGAGAAGTTACTAACATAGGAGAAGATGACGAAAACATAAGATATTTCACTATTCCTTTCTTTAGAAGTGAATCAGAAAAGTTCTCTTTCATGGCTAAAGATCACAGCATGAGATTATCTGTTTCCATAGCGCGCTCTGTCATATCGGAACACCGTTTAGATTACAATCACGAATTTGATTGGGAGTGCGTTACCATTCTTGATGAAGAGGCTTGTTACAAGAAGAGATTAATCTCGGAAATGACTCACATTAAAAGACAAAAATTTGGGCTTAATAAACAAAGTGATACAGAACTCTTATGTGATTCGTACGTACTTATTCTCAATATGCTGCCACCTATTTGAAGTCAAATAATTATTGACTTCACTCTAGATTAACCCTCCCCCTCCCTCCCCCTTCCTCCTACTCCCTATCCACTCCGTCCCCCCCCCCCTTCCTCTCCTCACCCTTTTTCTTCCTACCGATGAACATCGCGCACAGTCTCCTTTTCAAATTTGAGATGAACGGTACTTTGATGTTTCTCACATAGCAATTCTTTACGCAGCCTCATAAGTGAGTACACATTGTTAACTAAATTATTATAAATTTTATATAATTACTTACGATATCCACAAGTCAACTTTATATTTACTTTTTTTATTTTTTTTATATCTCAGTGTTACCGTTGACCAATTTGTATTAATGATAATTTATGTCTCACCAATAAATCCCAGCACGCGGAATTAGGTATGACCACAATTTTTTTACTGTGTATATTCATTATAATCAACAAACACTGTATTGACTCCGTTCAACCGACACATGTAACCGTTTTTAATTTGTCTCAATTTATGTATTATAGATTTGTATACTGAAGATGATCGGAAATGCCGATCGAAACGTTTAATTTCATTCCTGATTAAAGAAAGGAAAAAAATTTTGTTTGGCAATCAAGATCCTGCTGCGGCCTTTGATCCTTTTACTCCATAACTGTTAATTTTACGCTGGGCCTAGATTGATTTTATTAATTTGTACAATTATAAAAAAATAATTTTAATTTTTTACACAATTTATTTACACAAGACCTTAATTTTTTATATTTTACTTTTTATTTTTACTATTGTATTTTTTTTTTTTTCTAGGTGACAGTAAGAGAGCCATGGATGAATACACCTCTGAAATTATGCTAGGCGGACACAATACCATTGTAATCCACAACACCTGTGAAGATTCGCTCTTGGCGACTCCTATTATCCTTGATTTAGTCATCTTAGCCGAACTCTGTTCTCGCATCACCTTGAAAAGAGCAGATTCCAACGATGATGAAGAATTCTTTGGTTTCCATAGTGTGCTCTCTATTTTGTCATATCTCTGCAAGGCTCCCTTAGTGCCTCAAGGGACACCAGTGGTAAATGCCCTTTCTCGACAGCGGGCCGCTATTGAAAACATTCTGCGAGCCTGTCTGTCTTTACCGCCAGAGAACAACATGCTGCTTGAACACAAAGTATCTTTAAAAATTTAAGGAAAGTAAGAAAAAGAGCGAATGATATATAAAGAATGAGGAATTAAAGGTTCGAAGTAATAATGAGATAAATACTCGTTTGTTGTGAAAAAAGGAAAATTGGCGCTGTTTCGTTTTGTTTTAATTAAATTTCACCTCTCTTAATGTTGCATATCCAATATAATGATTCGTTATAAATTTATATCCACTGTATCAATTTTAACAGAATACCAAAGCTAGAAAGTGGCGAAATTTTGAAAGCTAATTTGATTTTATTAATGGTAAAATAATATAAAATTTTTAATAAAAATATGTTACTTGTTAACTTATTAAAATTATTAATATTGAAACAAAAAAATCCTTTTTATCATGGTTTCTAAAGTATCCAATAATATTAATTATAAAATTGTTGCTTATTAATAATAAAAAATATTACTATTTTTTAGAGTGTAATTAATATCACAACAAATTATTTTTGATACCAAATTATTGACCAGTTGTCAATTAAAACATTAATACCGTATAAAATTATTTTTTTATAATAGCTCAAGTTTCTTCGACGATATTAAATAATTGAAGCATCGGCTATGTGTGAAGAACAACATTGTAACCCTAAACTAAATTAGTTTTAAAAAGCAAAAAATATTTGTATTTAATATTGTATAATCAAATTAAAAACTGAAGTTATATATATCAAGGTTTTTGTAAGGTTTTAAAGTTTAGTTATGAAGAAAATTTTTAATTTATAATATTTTCACAGTAAAATAAAAACATTATTATTAGCTGAGAAACAACATTTTCATATAATTAATAATTGAATAAAAGAATCGTTCCACAAAATATGTATGTGTGTGTTTTAATACAGTTGCAGAAAGTAACTCTTGTTCCAGAAAGTTAATAAATGCAAAATATAGTGTTTAAATAGGCAAATAAACACCAACAGTTACAATATTATCAATTTTATAAATTTCAAAATATATACAAATAATATTTTAATTTTTGCATAAAAAGACTTAAAGTCTGTCCCTTGCCATTCCCCTGTCGCTTATTATGCGTTTTGGATATCCAAAGAAATTAAAGACGTCATTTAAGTGTTTGATTACTTCGGCAGTGCTCGTGGTTTTAGTTGGAAATAACCATACAAATCGTGAAAACGCGTCCACTATAATCAAAACGTATTTGAATTTATTTTTTGTCGCTTTTAAGAGTCCGAAATGATCAATATGAATAGTTTGAAAAGATGTTTGATCCCTCTCCACTATTTCCATCTCGCTCTCTGGTTTACCCGTGTTTGCTGCAAAAGATATATATTTAATGCAATTATCCAGGTACTATCGTACCCTTAGTTTGAGACCTGGAAGCCAGTAATGAGCCAAAATACAATACAATACCAAAAACTGTTTTATCATAGCCTACGTGGCTGAAATTGTCATGAACGTGATCAAACCTAAGGATCGCCCTAACTGGGGATCCGGGTCTGGCGACCTGCCGTCCAACAAGCTTTCATCCGGCCTGCGCCTTTTCTCTTCTCCCTCTAACCCATACACATAGACGCTCTCGCAAAGGTGACTTCCGTTTCCTCGTGCCTTCAACATTTTAATCTTTCATTTCCACTCCCATTCCCTTCGTGACTCTCACTCTCTCCCTCTCTCCCTTCCCTCTTCCCCTCTCCCTCTCTTTCTTTCTCTCCTTCTTCCCCTTTCCCTCCTTCTCCCCCTCTCTCCCTCCTTTTCTCTCTTTTTCTCGCGCGCGCGCGTGTGTGTGTTCATGTGAGCACGTAATGACGCACTTGAGCGTCAGTTAAGTTTTAGGTTAGCATGTGTTCAAATTGTTTGCTATTTACGATCTGACAATGACCTAGCCGAGCGTAAAAATTATTTAGAACATTTCTCCTCTGCCCTGGTATAATAAGAGCGAATCGATGTGTGATTCTATCTTTTAGTTCTGCCAGATTAGGTGGTTTAGTTTCACAAACGTAATTTTTAATATGACCCCATACAAAGAAATTTAATAGTGTGAGGTTGGGTGATCTGGCGGGCCAGTCTACTGGACCACGCCTTCCTATCCACCTTCCTGGGAAAGTACGATTCAAAAATTCGCGAACTTGTAATGCGTAGTGTGGCCCTGCACCATCTTGTTGAAACCAGACATTTTCAACATCTGCACCGACAAGATTTTCAATAGAGGGCATTACTTGATTTAGCAATAAGTCGAGATAATTCTGAGCATTGAGATTGCCATCAATAAATCCGACCTTCACGCGGTACATCTTGGGTAATGCTAATGCCGGCGGTCAATTTCAAAATCAATTTTTAAATGCTCATAGCTCTGCGAAAAAAATAGAGGCCTCTGTGACCTCTCATTGTTTTCGTCTTGAAAAGCCCTTTCAAATGAGCTCCCACTCGAGCCATGGTGCTACTTAAGATTTTCCGCCCCCCTCCCGTCCCACGCCCCCGAGGGGTTATGGGTCATCTGCACGCCAAAAGATAGTACTTTTGAAAAATCGAAACCCATGTTTCGCCGTTTTTCGATATTTTTATTTTCACAAGTTATTTAGGCGTTCCATATCTCTGGGACACTCTACAGGGTGTCTCACCTAAGACCGGCCACCTGAATAACACTGACAGTTTTGGAGATAAAAAGAAATGCTTGAAGTAAAAGTTGTTTGGTTCAAAGGGAGAAAAAACATAAGGATATTAGTTTGACCTCGAGTGGAAACATTTCGGAGATTTGAAAATCATCGTCATTCTTGAAAATAAAACTACCTTAATTTTTTTATATAAATCGATTCCTCACAATATTCGGCGTAAAAAGTTATTAGGGTAAGATGACCAAAAATTGAATAGTTTATGAAATATTTTATACTTTAATTGGACATAATTTTATATAAACTATGAAATATCTCGTTAAATATTTATTTTTCAATTATCTTACCTCAACACAACTTTTATGCACAAAATAATGAGAAGAATCAATTGGTGTAAAAAAAAAACACAATTGTCTTTAAGAAAAAATATGTAGCTAAAATGATATATTATAGATATGGAAAATAATATATAATATATAATAATATACAGGGTGTCTGGCAATAATCGCCCCACCGGTCATATACAGGTAGAGGAGGTCAAATCGAGTAGAAAAGTCCTTTACCATTTTTTGATTTTTGTAATAAGTACTAAGTAATTAACGAAAAAAGATT